ATTTAAAAATTAATAAATTTTAAAGTTTTACGTTCATATTGTTTTTCAAATTAATTTCAGGGATTATGTTTCTAATTTATATCAAAAATACAAACATAGCTGGGGTTTAGGTAGATTGGGAACCTTGACTGGAACTAATATCTAACTGGAGGCCCCGGCAGCACAGTGGTTAAGAGCTCAGGATCCTAACCAAAAGGTCAGCAAGTGGAAACCAGCCACTCCTTGGAAAACCTATAGGGCAGTTTTACTCTGTCCTAACTGAATCAGAATATTGTTAACCAAAGCCAAACCCATTGCCTTCAAGTGAACTCCGACTCCTAAACACCCTGTAGATAGAGCAGAACTGCCTCTTAGGTTTTCCAAGTCTGTAAATCTTTATGGTAGCCAACTGCCACATCTTCCCTCCACACAGTGACTGGTGGATTTGAACTACCAAACTTTTGGTTAGCAGCGAAGCACTTAAACACTGTTCTACAAGAACTTCCTCAGAATATTGTTAAGCATTCCTTACTCATTTGGGCTTTTTCCAGAGAATGAATGCTTACATTTCAAAATAAAATATGACAGCATTAAGTTTTATTTCCCTGAGTAAAAAGAACTCAAAAAATTTCACGAAAGAAGAGTAACATAGTTTTGGGAGAACACATAGGCTAACTCTCTGCACTTTCTATCCTGTGCTCTTGATGAAAGCATAGACAAATCTTACATATTTGATATGATACGTGGACAATTTGATCACCAAAAAGTTGGATTTGTATAATTATCAATGTTATTTCATTTGGCACTCAAAGTTATTTTATTCAAAGAACAAGAAGTAAGTTATTTTTTATTAATGCCATAACTTTTATGTGATATGTAAAGATTTGGCTCTTTTGTCCTCTTGTGAGTCTTAATTCTTCTCTACCTCTTAAGAGTGATGCTTTCATTTTAACAACGTCTTTTCCTTTATTTCAGTTCAGAATCAAATCCTGAGTACCATGTTAGATGTACACCCATTTTCTAGGATCTATACTGATACCGAGTAGGAAAATAGTTACAGCCTTTACCTCTCAGATATTTAGTGTCTGTAAAAGAAAATGCAAGCAAAGGGTATTGCAATTGCAATTCTAAGTGTGGAGCAGTAATGGG